ATTCTATTAATTCAGATTTTGATTGTGCGTTACGGTAATGTTTCGGATTTAAGTTAGGCTCAGCCTTTGGGCTCATCATAAATCATACGGCCACTCTGATAAAAGCATAGTCTATTATCTGATAAAAGCATAAAACTAAAGATTTTTTTTTTCTGATAAATCGTTGAACACTATAATACGTGATGCACTCATTCAAAAAGCTGGTGTATGTATTCACCACATTAAGTCTGTGAAAGACTAGATCATCTCATACAGGTGTCAGGACCGATTTGGGCCACCTAAGAAGCATTTTCCATCGTCTTCTATAATAATAACCTCAGGTTGGTAAGTCCAATGATGGACACCCTGAACTGGTTGATTCAGATATCTGACTATGATAAAAGTACCAGCGGAAAATTATGTAGCGGGAAAGGCTAGAAGAAGACGAGAGTCAGTATCATGGCCTCTATAAGAGAATGCTGAAGCACAAACAATCAATTTAACACAACATCAAACGGACAGCAAACACCATTTACCAGAATTTAACTCCCGAAGAAGAGAAATCATCTTCCCTAGCAAAATGCAGTTCCCCTCCACAGGATACGCTGAAGGGCGAAAGAACCCTAAGGGCGATGATATCCCCTTCATCGAACCTTTCCCCACAAGCAACATGACAGGCGGTACAAAATATGAGTTCCCTTGCTCATTGCTGTCGTGCAAACCATGCGAGAGTATCATATGATGTAGACACTATGCATTAGCTCGAGATTATTTTCGGAAGGCAAATCAAAACCCGGCCCATCCGGCAGGCTGCTCAGATTCTGTTTTCTTTGTTGCCCTTGCTCCAGAAGATATAGGATGGTTGCTTCTTGGTGCAGCCTGAATTTTGGGTTCTCCATGGAAAGCATTCCATGTCTTCAGCTCTGGTCTGTGTGATGATGCAGAAGGGTTCGACATCATTCCTTGCTGAAGGTCCCATACACTTCCTTCCATCTTGTCCCTTGGCTGCAAAAGCACAGGCATCATGATGAGGGGTTAGTATGAATCAACAAACTGGGAAGCTGGCATGCAAAGTTTCAAACAACATCTAACGTTACAAAACAAGTTATTGCTGAAATATGTACAAGAGCTGCAGACTCCAAGCTTCCAGGATGGTTGTGACTCTTTGACCTATCTTTGCTTGGTAGTGATGGGCTTAGGGCCGAAAGAGCACTCTTCAGCTCCTGTATCTCTTGTCGCTGAGAGCGACAGATGGCAGATAACTTTTCATATTTGGATGTCATATCTACTTTCTCCAAGTTGGCTTGCTTCAGCTGTTCTTTTAGCTTACCGACTTCTGATTCCAGATCTTCTTTCCTTGATTTGTTGTCACTAACAATATTCCTCGAGTTCAACTTGCTGACATCAAAATCAGCCACGAAAGTATTGAATGTTTCATTTTCAAAAGCTGGTTTCTCCTCAGGGTACAACACCTTTGGCCTCTGGGAACAATGCTTCATTTCTTGGGAATTTTTTTTCTCAAAGTCCTCATCAGCAGGGTTTCCCCGTTCAATCCTTCCTGGCTGTCGGGGATGGGCATGGCTTTCCCTTGGAGGGTTATCTTTGCTTATAATGGTACCATGATTCTGCTTTGACACTGCTTGTTTGACTGGTTCATTAAAGAAAGATCTCTTATTATCTATAACCGCTGAATCCTTCCCATGTTGGGTGGACCAAAATGCACCGATGGGCCCCCCTTCCCATGAAGCATCTTGAGACGGTCCAGAGTGTTGCGTATCCTCAGATTCTTGTGAGGAAGGTGGCGGTGGTGGGCTCCTTCGACGCATCAAAGAAGTCTTTCTTGAGACTTCTGCAGACCATTTTCAAATCACCATTATCATCATAATTAAGAATCACTACATGTGTAGATAAAATCTATAAATTCAAAGAAAGCTGGTATCTGTTCTTCAAGGAATCATTACATAAGGAAAAGAGGTGTCTTTTTAAACAGTATAAATTCATTTTATTTATTTGGAATGTAGAAAAACATTGTGCAAATAGAACTTTTCTATAGCATCCAAAAAATGTTAGCGAATAAAAAACAAGTAGACTTTTTCCTTCAAGTTCTCAAAAGGTTTAATTAAGAAAAACAAAAGTGAGGTTGTCCTTGAAATACAAAGAAGTTTTCTTAAAAGGATTTTTCTGGAAGCAAACAAGCATATCAGTGTTTGCTTTAGGAAGATCTTCTTTCTCCCAAGAGATTTTCCAGCGAAATAATATATAAACTATAAAGTACATATCAATATAACTGGTCCCTTCACTCATTTATAATTCATAATCATAATTCACTCACAAACAAGGAAACAGTAGCTAAAAGAATTTGGAGCACGTTCTTACCTTGATCTTGTGAATCTGAACGAGATCGATGCATGGCAACAGCTTCAGCACAGCCATCAGGTAAATGCTTCTGCAACTCTTCAGGAAGCAGTTCATTGACACGAAACCAAACCTGCCAGATGGATACACAATCAGTAATAGGAATTTAAGATCTACTGCAACTCTAAGGCTGTTGCATATGCAACAATCTATAACTAACCTAGTTTCATGGAGATGAATGACCAATCAAGCAATGCCCTTGCCTGCATGATATCTGGTCTGGCGTTTGGAGAAGCTTCAAGCATGTCCTTGATCAGGCCGGTCATAGAAGCACTGTACTTTGGTAAGTCGGGGATGCGATAGTTTCCATTCAGGACTTGAAGTTTTGATTCACCGTCAAATGCAGATTTGAAATAACAGATTCGATATAGAAGGCATCCAAGAGCCTGAAAGATGTGAACATAAGCTTTATCATGCTCCTATATACATGGGGAGTTAATAGGATAAGCTCAGAGCATCTTAATGCTAATAGTGCTGACAGTGAGGACAATGAAGAAAGCGAGAGTGAGATTTCGGAAATCAAACGAGCAGCAGTTGACCTCTCTTGTCGTGTCAAAGTGTCATGATGCTATTGTTTGTGAGAGTGGGGATATTGTAAGGGTTAAGATTCAGTTTCCGTACTTGTGGGAGACAGTAAATGAAAATTAACCATCTCTATTAAGCACAACTGGAACAACTCAACAACAGTTATGGTTTTGGCTTAAAAATTTTGGGAGATGTTCACGAAATATGTTTGATATTTTTTTAGTTTATTTTTTGGTGCATAAGGGAGGAGGGTGGTGGTAAGTGCAAACACTTTGTTTCCAAAAATTTTTTGGAATAGAAGGCATTTAACTTCTATATATTTCAGGGAAAAATCCAGCAACAAAGTTAGACCCTAGACTCTTATCAAACTTATGAGACTACGAGTAACAGAGGACTTCAAATATTAACCTAATTAAAACAAAAAAGAGTAAAAATTAAGCAGAGACCAGACATGAAAATAAGTGGAGACAAGCAAGACCTTAATTGCAAAAGCATTTATATACTGAGCAAAAATATTGAAGTACAATAGTTACACTAATTGGTTAAATCACCCAAATGAAGAAATTGCTTAATTTAGTGTGTGGTAGCTATGATAAGGTGATAAAAAATGTGATATATAGAGAATTTTAACTTTGCAGACATAATATCATTAGTTTAGCAAAAAAAAAAAATATTGTAGGATGAAAGATGAGAGCATTATGTGTGGGAGAAGGAGAAGCTGTAAATGACAAAGGCAAGGGATTTCAGTTTAAATTACTAACCCAGATGTCCACTTTCTCACATAAAACTTCCTTTCTGAAAAGGTCCCACATCTGTATCAGGTAAAAGAATAATAATCAAAACCATTTTCTTCGTTAAACATAAAACATATTCTTCTCAATAATTTAATCAAAGCAATTCTTTGATTAAACCTCAGGGGCTCTATATGCAGGAGTTGTGTGCTTCCTGATAATGTCTTCTTCAATTCCCATCTCCTCAGGCTTGTCAAAGCATTTATGATTGGTAGAAGTGCTGCCAAAGTCGCATAACTTCCAAGCTCCACCAGGAGCTAGCAGCACATTTTCAGCTTTCAAATCCCTGCAGAGCTCAATAGACAACATACTTGGCATGAGAAATTTTAAGCAGAGTGAAATGTAAAAGACAAAAATACTGATCACTTTGAGGAAATGATGTGGCTTAACAGTTGATGGTGAAGCAATTTCTTTTTATCTTTGTAGGTTACGTTCAAACTGATGCTGTCAACAAGGCAAGACAAAATAAACAACAATGCAGCCACTCGACTTCTTTGATAGAGGGGAAAAAGCTGCTGCGTAGACACCATTATATCACAAATAGCCATAAAGAACTTCTATCCAAGTCTTAAATCAGTAAGAAGGTAAGAACATCACCAGCTAATTCATAGATTTAGACAATTTACTTCAAACTCCATAACAAACAATAAAACTTAATCATTAGATACGATACAACATGTAGCTAATGCATTGACACAACATTGTTATGGTAGGAAGAATAAAACATCTAAATTATTTGATGTATCAGAATACCTGTGGGCAATTGGTGGTGATTGGGAATGCATGGCATAAATTGCATTGCAAACATCTCTAAATATCAAGAGGATCTGTTTCTCCTCGAAGTATCCAGCTCCTCTGTTTCCTAGCACAGTAACCAGAGACTTCTCACAGTACTCCATTACAAGCAATGCCTCCTTCCTCCAGCCCATGTCTAGTATGGTGTGCGCAATGAGGGTAACAACATTAGGGTGCCCTCTGAGCAGCTTCATCACAGAGATCTCCTTCATGACAAGATCTGATGACTCGGCATCATTGCAAATCATATGTTTCAGGGCATACTGTTTAGATGATTGTGCAGGATCAAGGGCAATGTAGACACAGGAAAACCCCCCTTGTGCTATGACATTCCGAACATGGACCTTTACATTACCAACATCAATTGTTCGGCCTTCAAGACCAACAGGTTCTTTGCCCGTGAATGGCTTGAACATCCACATGATTGGAATGATTAAGGGTGCTACCAATCTAATCTTCTAAGTATGCTTACTTCTGTCGTGAAAGGAGTTGCATCAGGTCTAAACCTTAAAACAAAAAAAAGCAAAAACAAATAGGAAATTCTGCAACAAAACCTCAATACCTAATCTCCACGAAGGCCTTTTTACAGAAGATCAGGTTTTTTAAAACTAGCAAAAAGGATTAGTTAGTGCCTGATTCCACTTCTGATGAGTAATAAAGATCAGCTGCTGCAACGTTTCAGACTGCAGAATAATAATGTCCGGCATTAGTGGAACTAAAAGAACGTATGTGCACGATTGAAATTTTCGTCTAATTTGGTAAAATGGTAAGCGATCGATCCATTTCGTGTCAACCAATGATTTGAACCTGACTAACAACCAACAAGAGTCTGATCTATGAATCGGCCTCACGCCGCAAACACGCATGCATTGCGGATCGGCCTTAGGATTCCCCTTCGGTCTCCGATCGGATCGAGACAAAACAGTAAAGAAGTCGAGATCTGCGCACCTAGGCGATCGATCCAGAAGCTCCAGAGGGCCACGGAGATGAGAGATCGCAGGGCCGGGGGATCCGATCAAAGCCAGATCGGAGGCGTTCCCTTGAGAACACGACCCCAGATTCGTAGCTGGAACCACAAGGGGAGGGCGACGAGAAGTTACAGGGGAACGAAGAGATCGCCCCTTCAAGTCGAGTGTATATCGGGGCTGGGCTTCGATGATGCCGGCGAGTAATGCCCGGTTACGGGGCTTTTATATTTAATGGCCTCCGGAGCGAAGAAGCGGAGCGGGGCGGTCGAGTCGAGGGCGCGTGAATGGTGATGGGCCAGCGGTTTTCTCCACTGGGACCCATAGAATCACCGCCGTCCGATCCGCGGAACCTCTGCTTAGTCGATCACGATCGTTCGATAGGTGGGCCGTGACTCCGGAGCCGGCTCAACTGTCAGCCCAAGTTTCCGCCTAACCTTGACATATATAGTTTGAGCAAAAGCCCATCTCGGCCGCCTCTCAGTGGCCATAAAATGGGCCTGATAAGAACGGACGGTCGAGATGTGACATAAATGTCATTCAGCTCTTTATTTGCCGAATGCCACTGACGCTACCGTCGAAAGTAATCAATAGATGCAATTGGCTCACGTCTTTTTTACTTTCAAATATGTAGATGGACTCGGTGCTGGTTGATATGGCGCATTTCAGCACATCCACGTGGCAGCCAACAGGGATTGCGATAAGGTCAACAAGGGATCTCCACGCTGACACGACATGATACTTCGAACGAGACAACCATAATCTCCGTGTTGTTCAACGTCGAACACCACGAAGTCATTTCGGAAAACTTAGGATGACATCACACGACGTCGACCTATATGGGTCGATCGTCGCTCGTCCACAGGATACAAGCCACTCTGCTCGACGCTGAACACCATGGGTTATAACTTAGGACGATGTCGCATGGCGTTGACCTGTACGGGTTGATTGGCGCTCATCCATAAGGTATAACCCATCATTTCAAGGAGTCGACAGTCATTAAAGGACCATGTACAATTGCCATGCATAAAAGACAACCCTCCTAACCAATGCGGTGGACTTCGAACACTCAACTCTTCCTTATTCCACCCAACTCTGGCTTAACCCCGGTCTATGTGCGGGAGCTCGACAACATAAAAACAAACCACTCACCAAGAGAAAAGATTGCATTTGGGAGATAAGGTCGGAACCCAACTCAACTCGACACTCGCTTCCACCGTCTGAGTATCATCGTGGGCAACCTTGCGTATTTGGAATTAGACTTAGTCGTATTGACACATCAGTCGCGACGTAAAGATTCATCAACACATGTGAGTGAATTATTTGTATATAATATCATAAATATTTATCGTGACTCATTTAAAATCTTATCTAATATATTAAAAATATTAATTAATAAAAAATTTGATAATTTATCATAAGATCCTATGCTCTAATTTCATCTTCATCTTTTATCTTTTGTTAAAAAAAAAAGAATCTTTATAAATTTTGCAACTATGAGATTAATATGTAGATATTTATATGACTGTGAAGAATTATCAACAATAAAGTACTGCAGAATCTGAATATCTAAGCCGATGAAAACTCAATGTATATAATCTTAATCTCAAGCCTTTTGGGGAAGAGTTTATCCCCTCTTTTATTTTCCTAACCATTTGGGTATTTTTAAGAGCAGTATGATCACAACAATAACGAATACGAATATTGATCATGAAAACAATTCGTTTAATTAGGATAAGGATGCCAAAGAATTCCTGCGCATTAATTTTGCTCCTCCGCCTTCTTCTTGGCAACAGTCGTCCTCCATGTTCTTCGAGTTTCGATCCAGTGGTCACTCTCCTATTTAGGCAAGAGTCTTTGTACTATGATCACCGATCCTTTTCCTGTACCTTCTGTTGGGTAACACCACGACCAGCATCATTACCGGAAGTCGAAGTACCGCTGCTCTTGTTCTACCTTCGAGTTCGTTCCAGATCAAGCACATCGATGCCTCAGCACACCTTGCCCAGGCATCGCGCCATGGTGAAGAACTGACGTACTGATTTCAAAGACCCAATCCCAGACTAAGACTTGTAGCAGCGCTGGATTAGCTCAGTCCTTCTCAGTACCGGCCGGACCTTGTTCATGCGCAAACGGGTGAAGTTGAGACTTGAAACTCCCCAGCAAATCTATTCATTTGCTTGCTAGATTTGCCGTCACTTCCCGAGGCAGTAAGAAGTAGGAAAAAAAAAAGCCAGAAGCCTCCATCAATCAAGAGCTGTTTGAGGTACATTCTGCGAGAGGAAAGAATGTGAGAGGCGGAAAAAACCCATCTTTTCAAAGCAGAAAAGTACAGAGATCTGCTTAAAGACTGCTTTTTCCAAGGCCACCCGTCCACTCAAGCAATGCTCTCTTGGAAGACCAAGTAATGCTTATTTCAATTAAAGATTCCACATTTCTTAGCTATCAAACCATCACAATCTCTTACTTTTCATTGCTCCCTCATTGCTCCCACTGGATATGTTTGCCAGATTTATCACAGTGCTGTACAGTGGTAGCTTAAGATGGCAGTTGGCAGCTTTATGACGTAGCAGAAGAACCAGGGTCCCTTCTTTTACCCCGCAGGGACTCGTGAGACCTATCCTCTATAGAATCCCATCGACCCTTTTGGTTCCTCTCGGGTGTCGGACTCCATGCAAGGACTGTTGGAGGGGGTTCCAGCAATGGAGATGGGTTCCAGCTCGGTTGGGGTCTCCGGGGCCTCCTCTGGCTCCAGCGACTCCCTCCATGGGCTCAAGTTCGGGAAAAAGATCTACTTTGAGGATGGTGGTGGGAACTCCTCCAAGGATGCCCTGGCTCCGGCTTCTGTGGCGGCGCCACCGCCTCCACCGACGAAGAAAATGAGAGGGGTTGTGAAGGGTGGGCTGCAGCAGCCTCCAAGGTGTCAGGTAGATGGCTGCAAGGTGGATCTCACTGGGGCGAAAACTTATTACTGTAAGCATAAGGTCTGTGGGATGCATTCAAAGGCACCAAAAGTGACTGTTGCAGGCTTGGAGCAGAGATTTTGCCAGCAGTGCAGCAGGTTTGTTTTGATTCAAGCTATTCCCTTTCCTTTTTTATTTTTTCGTTCTCCAAGGTATTGGAGACTGAAAAAATTTTTTGATCTTTTTTGTTCTTCATTTCTATATCTAGGTTTAATTTTATTGTGAAGTTTTGGTAGGAAGATGCTGACTTTGTTTCTTGGGGAAAAGTGGTAGAAGTCTATTGTGAGCTTATTTTAGACCTGATGAAATATTTTTAAGTTGTTTTGTGGAGACATTTTATTTATTTTCCTTTTTTACTGTCTTTACTTCAATTTACAAGTTGTCTTTGGCAGGTTGATGTTGGACAAATATTTTGGATGTAGTTCAACTGTGTGTTCATGAATGTTTTTGGGTGTTTCATCTTTTGCAGCCTTACTAATAATTACTTAATTTTAACATATTATTATAATATATTTTGATATTACTATATATGTTCTGTAATTTATAGTTCTTGGATTTGTTTTCTTTGCTTTCCTGGTTATAATTTATTTCCTTTTACCTTATTTTTTACAGCATAGTCTGAAATCCCAATGTAACTATGTTCTTTTTTGTTTAATGATGCGGTTGATCTAATGTGAAAGAATTATAAGATAAAGAAAAAATGAACAAGTAGAAGAAAAAAGGGCTGTAGGGTTTCTGTTGCTGCTTTTAGTTGACAAAATATTCTTAGCATTGGTCATGCCTGGCTTTTTTTTTTTTTTTTTCATTTATTTGCTGTTTCTATTATTTGCATGATAGGACATTAAAGCACATGTGATGCCATGGTACTTTGTTCTTGTGGAGTTCTACATATTTAATCTTGGCATCAAAGTGTATTATGATAGTTGTTAGTCTAGCTAATTTGATGCTGGTCTGTGGGGTTTAAAACATTTTTTATAATGGTTGAACCACTCATTTTTATCTTCTATTTCTGATTCAATTTGTAAATGATTTTTTTAATTATAAACTATGGAAGTATTGTGGAGGAACTTTAACTTTTGAGTTTGTAACAAATCAATGTCTTAATTTATGTACCATGTTAATTATTGGTTTTGAAGAGACTTGGATGCAGCCTCTCCTTGTTGGTTTTAAAGTGGACTTATGTGCAACTTCTGCTTGATAGCTTAATCATCTATAAATACATTGCAAAATGATCTTTGGAGCTAATTCTGGTACATGAATCTACTCTTCTTGGTGATTGGATTTAAGAATTATGTCATACTGACAATTTAATCGCTGCTATATTTTGTCTCAGGATGTCATTGTTGCATTAATAACTGTTGTTTTCTGAGATTTGGTTCATGTGGCTCTTCTCATATTGATCTTCTTCTCTTGAAAATTATTGGGCTGGTAGTAAATCATAACTCACAGAGAGATTCATGTCGGAGGAACTTTGGGTTATCTTTTCATATTGATCTTCATCTCTTGAAAATTATTGGGCTGGTGGTAAATCATAACTGGCAGAGAGATTCATGTTGGAGGAACCTTGGGTTGAAGGGGTATCCCAGAGAAATGATCCATCGATTGACTTGCTCCTATAGATGCAAATAATGTTATGATGGAGGAACATGTATTGAGAACAACATTCATGCTACCTATTGGCAGTGGAAGATTCAATCGATCATTTTATCTCTTCTGAATTTGCTTTATTTTAGTTTTCTACTATTAACTTCTAATTCTTTCTTTATGAGCTTAGAAGCTTGGTTTTGCAAATCTCTGAATTATGAAATAAAATGGCCAAGTTTGATCATGTCCATCCTTTTTTTTTTCTGCACTTGACTAGTATTGCTGTTTATGGTTGTGATGGTGAAGGATTGGAAGTTTGTTTGACTGAAACTGTGCTAACTTTTGGCATGTAAGAGCATTCTAAGTCCATCTGAATCCTGTTCTTATCTTTTCAAAGGATTGCTATGTACAGCTCCTAAATTTGACACATGACCTTGTTAAAGAAGTCTATTAATGGATTCAAGCTTTATAGAGCCTCATAAGTCTGATATCATTGTTTTATGATGTTTCGGTTCATAGAGATTCTGCCTTGTAGGAATATTATACTGTTAAGTCTTACATTCCTTGTGAGATTGTGTGTGGGTCTTCTAGGCACAGAATGGTTGCTCCCTGACTCCAATGTCAGGGTTTGAGTCACAGAAAATACTCTATCTACATGTTGCATTGAGAAGATCTGCTTGCACTGAGTTTGTTTTCTGTAAGATTGTGCTTTGACATTGTTTTGACTCTTCAGTGCATGTAGATCACCTGTATGTGAAATTACTTCAAGTTCGATAGGAATTTGGAATCCTTTTCTTTTCTTCCATAGTGAATAATGCCCTCCACAGTATGTTGCTTATCTTCATGTGTTTCACTAGCTTATAGTTTATCTTGATCACGTTTTCTTTTTCATTTTATAAATGCAAATGGATCATATTTGCACCTTTTCTTTTTTAACAAGAAGAAAAAAGATAAAGGGTCACTGAAGTGCATATGTACATGATTTTGTCGATAGTCAAGACACTAAGGAAAATGATACAGAAATAGTGAGACAGATTACATTAGTTCTTTCACCCTTTGATCTTTGTGTTAAGATTTAAAGTATTTTATTTTAGAGAATTTTAAGATTTTTATCTTTTATCTTTTAAATAAGTTGATTAGATTGAGCTTTAGAGACAAGAGTTGCTTGATTTAAATTGTTATTCTATACTTATAAATAGATGACATATGCATGTGCAGATGCATCCAAGTCTCAAGTGTTCAGGCCTATAGGGCTTAAGTCTAAGAGTAGTTTAAGATATTATAAGTGTTTTTCTCTCTTTTTTTTTCTAGAAGTTCAATATAGTTTTTTTTTTTAACTTCTGTCTTGGTTTCTTCTTCTTCTTCTTCTATTTGGTCTGATTTTGAGTTAGTAGTACCTTATTACCACTATTTGAGAAAGGGCTGCACTTGCATGTGATTTCTCTCTTTCTTCACACTTTGCCAACCGATTAGTAGACAACATACTACACAATTCTTAAATTTACGAAGTAACTTTACTGGCTGAGAGAATACAAAATATGTTAACAATGTGTACCGAAACCTATTTTCATACTAAATGAACCTTTGACCTTAGAAACTATGGTCCTATCATAATTTTCAACAACCTGGGGATCTAAAATAAATTGGTGGTATATAAATCGCTGGTGATCATAATTTTCAACAATCTAAAATTAATTGCTGGTGAATGAGAAAATTTCAACAACCTGCAGAGTGTCTGTAAAGCTGCACATGTTATCTGTTATAACTATGAATATTTTATGAGTCTCCTAAAAAGATTTTTTTAAGATCCTATACTGCATTAATTGTTCTGTGTCAGTTAATCATATATGTTCTATCAAGCTCTGTCGAATTTGTTTTTGGCTGCACCCGGTGTGCCTTCGCTAATGGTTTAAGCCATAATTTCACTAATGGACTGACTATCAAACCATCAATTGTCAACTGAACATCTTAACTAGCTCTTTGTTGACATGAATTTATAATTTGATAGGATTATTGTGAGGAATATCATTTGGATAACATTTAACTTGATCCAAGGAAACTCGAAACTTGTGATGATCATCAACTCCAACTCTTAACTAATTATCTATAAGTTGAACCTGTAACCACCATTAAGAACAAAAATACAAAATTGTTCTCTTACTTCCAAGATTTCGGTATGTATTCTCACTTCATCATCTTTTGTTGTTTCATTTTCATTTCATTCTACTGGTTTTGTGAGCTAGGGATTAGCCAGTCCACCAAGTTATTAATAAATTGTTACTCTGTGATTCCAAAACCTAGGTTTCACCAATTACCTGAATTTGACCAAGGAAAACGCAGTTGCCGCAGACGGCTGGCAGGCCATAATGAACGTCGAAGGAAGCCACCACCTCCTGGGCCATTTGCATCACGCCACTGTCATCATACACCATCCTTCCATGGTCTGAAACATCTTTTTTTTTTTCATCACATTTACATGTTTGTAATAAGTTTATTAGATTTCTAGGACGGCATGTTTCATCATCATGTTTCATTTATTTTGTTATAGAAGAACTTGGCAGAGCCAGAAGCTTTCCAGTTGATTTTAGCTGCCCGAGGTTTTCAACTACCACACGAGATGTTTGGCCGACCATTGCGCCTGGTGATTGGGTGGCTGGCAACCACTGTCTGGGAGTCTTATACCCTCTATCAAGTGGAGCCGTGGTGCATGGGGCTCATCCTTGTATGCATGGACATCTAGAGGGGCCCCTCTACTCCATCACTAAACCTCCGCTCCGTGATTGTCTCTCAGGAGCCTCAGACTCCAGCTGTGCTCTCTCTCTTCTGTCAACCCAGCCATGGAATCACAACACTGCCAGGAACCAGGTTCCGACTATCTCGGTAAGCAGTTGCTTGGACGGCACCCCCATGGCTCGGTCGACCGTATCAGATAATTGCATGACAAGATCATGGGGTTTCATTGGTCATGGAGGCAGGCCTAACCCTCAGAATATCCAACACATCGCCGGCGGGGTGGGTAGAGTGGCTGAGGTTGGTGATGGTCAGATTTCCGGCATGCTAGAATTAGCTCGGCATGGCGACGGGCAGTGCCTCCATGGCTCAAGTGGAACAGCATATGATGAATCCGGTCAGGTGATGCGCTGGTCTCTGTAGAACATCCCTTGTCTGCCTTCTCTTGGAGCTATCAAGCATGTGTTTTGGATGTGGACTTGCAATCTTTTTGTATTTTGGGAAGAATAGTGTGGTAATTAATGCAAAACAATTGGATGTTCACAAGTATGTTTGTGTCTCAACTTATTTTGATGCTCTCAGTATGCTACCATTTGTTTTTGGTGTTAAAATATGTTTGGACTATGATGGCTGCTGATCGAAATGAAAATACAACTATTTCTACTACTGAGGAGAATTAATTGGTGTCAACAGTGCGTATTATCCTCTGCTGGTAAATGTAGTTGATAAGGATGATAGATTGGGGAGTGAAACTACTCTAACGTGAACTGCAATCTACTACTATATTGACAGAAGAAATGAATCCCTCGTTCCCAGAATCAATCTCATCAAATGGACCTGTCTCTGAAGAGTAGCAATGCTACAATTATTATTGAAAGAAGACAGTGTCACTATCTTCTTCATGGAATGGACATTCACATGGTAACAGTTGTGGTCGAGCAAACTGACCATTCATCTCAAGAGTTCCTGTCATATTGTTCTCTTCTGTGAACACGGAAGGATTGCTGTATCATTACCTCTGAGGGCCAGATTGCAAGGACTCTGTTGTGACCATATTGGATTCTTCTTTCTTCACCATCGTCTGCTGTCGTTGTCGCCTTGCCTCTCTCTCTGGCTAATCACACCCTCGTCGATAGCTCCTAACATCAACAGGGATGGCGCAGAATTATTATACGGCAGAAGTCTGCAGTACCTACAAGCTTCAATCTTTTGATGTCGCCATGACAGTGAACCTCTCCAGCTTCAAGTTACGACTGCAACGAGTTCAGGAGCTTCTGGGGAAGCAAATGGACGCTGTAAGCTTTAATCTAACTGCTGCTTGCATCCGTCCAATCCTTGATCGAAACAAGACACAAGAAGGCAATGGAATGGGGAGGGCTTTGCCCTTCTTTCCTCCTTGGCTTCGTACAGGTGGAATTGTCTCTTGTTCATTTGCTGACAAGAAGCACTGGGGCTTCACCATCTTGTTGCTTTTGCGGGCAGCTTTCCTTCACACAGATGAAATTGTGGCATTATATGATCGTAAGGTTCCAATAGACCTCTTCGCCGCTTTACACCAAATGGACAACATTAAACAGCAGACCTCGATTTAGGGCCCATGGCTTCGTTGGCTGATAGTGAAGTCTTGTACTCGTTCTTACGTAAAACCCAGGCTGCTAACTGGCACAAAGTTGGGGAGATAATATGTCGACCTTTTAATGCGTTGATATATGATCTATAGGTTTGCATGACAGTGTAATGAATGCTATTAGTACTGCCGACAGTGTCAGGATGACTTCATCGCTTTCTCTCTCTCTTCATTGTAGTTACAAGGCTACGGAAGAGAGAAGCAACGACTTGATCTCTACTGTAATCATCTTGCAGTGTTTCAGGTGAAGAAAAGGTAAGAATTCGTCTTGGAGATACTACTTATGTGGAAAAGAAGCAGAAAACAGTGTATGGTTTGACCTAGCAGACATTGTTTGACCTCTGGGAGAAACGTGCAGTTTTACTCCCAACGTTAGATTTCCTCTCCCTGTTCCTCCTCATCTAGTCTTGTCGGTCTTCCGTGGAGGTTGGCTTGCTCGACGAGCGTCTTGACCGCTATCCCATCCCATGTCCTATTGAGTTCAGTCACCAGGCGTTTCTGGGCTCCATGGCTTCTTCTACCGCGTCTTCTCAGGCTCATGGAACCGAGAGCGACGATATCCAGGCGGCCATTGCCAAGACCGCGGAGCTGAGGTCTCTGCACGCGAAGTTGCTACAGAGGCGCAACCTTGGTGGTGGCCCCTTTGTGCTCGGCCCGCCCGTCGGTGCCGCTTCTTTCCTGCGCCACTCTAATCCGCACTCCACCGCCGAAGATTACCCTGTCTTCACACCTGTGAGGAACTCGATGACCTTCTACTTGCCCTTTTACCCCATTTTTCTTGCGATAATTCACAGTAGGCCTGTAGTTCGGCTTGAGCTTGGTGGATTCGTGTTGTTAGCTTGTGCTATTTTGGTACAGTGGAGACGTATCGTAGCAATTTTGGTGTAATTCTTTCATTCTTCTGGTCGCTCGCCGACATTGAAATCTTTGTAGCTTCTCCAGCAGTGCTAAGCCTCGTTGTTGGGAACATCACCAGCTAGTATAACTAGACATGTTCCTTGCTTCTCCCATGGAAAAATGAAACAAAACCCAAATAATGATGAGCGGCAAGTCTTTTACCGATTGGCCTTATGGAGAAACTCGTTTTCGATCCATATTTGTATTTGCATAATTTACATTTGGGGGAGTGACGATCTTTCATTTTCTTGATGTTCTATGTTCCACAGGTATAAATTCTGTTTGCATCTTTGCAATAGATTTTCTCTTGTTATCCGACTTCATAATAAGAATCCTTCAGAAGAATGAATGGGAATTGGAATATGAAAACTACAGTTCTTCACTAGCAGCTGACATATATCTACAAAACTCATTATGTTTTCCCTGAGAAAGTATTTCTTCCATCACAATTCTTTTTGCCATTTGGATAATTGTAGTTCACTCTTCTTAGGTCGCGATGTGATTCTTTCCGACAGCCCCTGCAGCTGGAATGACCCACTTTATCAATGAAATGGGTTTTTTTTTTTCATATGGATAATATATTATTGCATCAATTAAATTGCGTAAAGTGGTAATTTCGCTACGAAGAGGTAGATTCTGAGTAGCTAATTGGTCATGAAGTTTCATTGTTGTTCTCGGATTTGTAGTGTGTCAAGGATGATAATTGTATTCTGCAATAACAATTGTGAGGGTTTGTTCTCTTTTTCTAAGGGCATATCATCAATTTCCTATTCTTTGAACTCATTTCTTTCCTGTTCTGCTCATCCAATCTTATAATATTCCTCTGGTAACCAAATGACTAGCAGAAAAGTACTGTCGGCTAGACTTAAGTATGCAACTCGTTTTCTCTAAAATTTGTGTTGCGTACCATATTACTTACTGGTATATTGCTATCGGGCATGTTCTTCATTTGTTTCACCTTCTGGTGTTGGTCCTACTAGAATCAAGGCTTTGAAGATTCTGAGATCTAACTTGTCTGATCTAATTACAGCTTATCCCTTTTTTTAATTTTCGGCCAACTTACAAGGATCATATTAAGAGATATTGATATTTTGATTTGAATTAATGATGACTATAGAAAAGTGTTGTTTAGCTTGTTTCCTAATGTTTTCCTTATTTTTCTTCTATAGTGATTTCTTTTTTCTGTGTTTGGCAGAGTTATGAAGAAGAATCCTTACCAGGTTTTCACTACATCCGTCCTGAAACCCGAAGCTTATCGGAAACCTGGAGTGCCATTCAGGTAGAAGGCAAAAATGATGCAACAATAAACATAGATGCCCAGAAAAACAAGCAAAATATTTGCTCAAGGAATGAGCATTTATCCAAGAGAAGCTCATGCATAAATCACATTTCCTTTTTGCAAGCTTCGCTGGTGACTGATACCCACATTTCCTCTAGTGGTAGAAGCAGTCCCGGCGAGCATGAAACCATCAAAAAGTGCAACGCATGCAAGCCTGTAACCATTAGTAGGGAACCCGAAAGGGAGCACAGGAACCTGAAGACAGTTTCGAGCACGACATCTTTGCATGACACAGGGACATCAAAACATGTGCATACAAAGCACAGAGGGCCTGTTCTGTCATGGTTATTTCCGAAATCGAAAAGGAAACCCAAACCAGAGATGTTGCCACACCCAATAGAATCTGAAGAGATGTCCCAATTCTTGAATGACTGGGGATTACTTTCATTTGAATCACTGAAGAAGGAACTGCTTGAAGCTAACAAGAACAAGGATGCTGCACTCGCAGAAGTTACAAAAATGAGGTCTTTGTTTGGGGAGCTGCAACAAAAGCTAGTCAATTTGGAAACGTATTGTGAGGAGCTGAAGAAGGCCTTGAAGCAGGCAGCACATGTGAAAAGTTGCCAGGTTACGGACAGGCCTAACTTGCCGAAGAGAACAAAAACCAGTGGTTGTGTAAAGGACGAGTTGATGCCCGTCAGCCATGAGGTAATGATGGAAGGTTTCCTGCAGATAGTATCAGAAGCCAGGCTCTCCATCAAACAGTTTAGCAAGATGCTGATCCACCACATTGAAGAAACTGAATGTGATATGATGGAGAAGCTAAATTTGCTTCTCCAACATCAACAGATGTCATCAAGTAAAAAACACTCGAAAGTGATGCTATACCATGTCGAAGCTCTTATAAACCAATGTCTATATCAGGACTTTGAGAACTGCATTTTCCAGAAGAATGGCTCACCAAAGTTTCTAGACCCACAGCAAGAACGCCGGGAGAACTACTTGGCATTCCTTGCACTACGGAACTTGAGCTGGAATGAGGTACTTCACAAGGGAACAAAGTACTACAGCAAAAATTTCAGCATGTTTTGTGACCAAAAGATGAGCTGCATTGCTTTGTTGCTAAACTGGTCGAGACTGTGGCCTGAACAGCTCCTCCAGTGCTTCTTCATTGCTGCCAAATTCATTTGGTTGCTTCACCTGCTTGCCTTCTCCTTCAGCCCACCATTGATGATCTTGCGAGTTGACGAGAACCGAATCTTTGATCCCCTCTACATGGAGGACATTCTTTTGGACAAAAAACGCGCGCACATTGCAGCCCAAGTTAAGATCATGGTTATGCCAGGATTCTACATTCAAGACAAAGTGCTGAAGTGCAGGGTTCTCTGTGAGTCTCTCTCATTAGCAAAGTAATCGATCATCTTTAGTTCTTTCTGATGGAATTTGTGTTCTCATGAGCTGTTGAAACTGGTGTTCCATCTTAAATTTGTGTTGTCCTGTCAGGTACAGGCTTCATAAAACAACTGTAATTTTCACCTAACAATTGTATAAGTAGTGTGGTACAGATGAAGTGGGACTGAAAGTGATGATAGAATGTATTTGCGTTGTTTTCAGATGTGATAGGTTCTTTCTGCGATCCATTTATGGGAAAATGAAAACATATGTCTGCTTTATCATTTACAGTTCTTATCAGAGCATCCAATGTCTTCAATGTTTCCTAATTTTTCTCATCAAGCGAGTCAACCTTAGGACATATTGTGTTCGACACAAGACTCCACAATGGACAATTTGCTGGTGAACTATATAGATGTCACTGCCCGTATCTTTCCCTTTTCTGTGATCCAATGCAGATAGTGCTGGGTAGGAGCAGTTCGACATGTGATTGATCCTTGATGTTTGTACCTTCATCACTTTGCTCTTTGTCAACTCAGAATACACACATCTTGTATGCATGTAGATTCTTAGTTAATTCGGTAGCCTCTCAAATTGGTAACAATCTCATCCATGCTGAAACAAATCTGATTCCATTGTGTCCGTTATACAGCTCAAGCTGATGGATTCAGATCTTTCTTCTGCTTGCCAGATGAACAGGTACAGCTTGCCCGATTCTCCTACTGTCTTCCAGCACAAACGATCGAACTAACATTCACAGCCATAGACATAAAACAGACGAAGGCTATATCAGCAAAGTGCTTTTCAGCACTTGGACATGGTCCGAACCTGTATGTGTATGACCGTCCAATATGCCTTCGAGGTAAAAACGTCGAGCTTCTGAGATATTGCATGCATGAAGACTAAGATTGGAAGAGGTTTTCCAACCCGATCTCTCTGACACCCAAATTAGTGGTCAAAAAATGATCCCCTCTTTATTGTGTTGAAGATGAGATTTTATATCTGATCATAAAGGATAAAATATTTCATGAAATATTCTATAAAGGCAGTCTCTAAGCACCTCTAATAACCTCCTTTTAGCCTTTTATCCGTGCAGGCAACAAGGGGAGGACACCCTATAATTGTCTACATTGGACTCTTATTCACGTGGGCAGATAGGCGAAGGGTGGCCTCGTATTCTCCTTCCAACTTAGACACCACATAAAGGCCACATATCTGATGATAACTAGCTAACGATGTTCTCCCTATCATTTGTTCCCCTATAGCATGCTTCGAGGGTTCTCGTAAGAGGGATCCGAAGTGCGACATTTGGTTCATTCAATATATTAAGCTTATGTTTCTTCGATTGGTTCTTCGACTCTACGCATTAGTCGAACACCGACAAGATCAGGGGGTGCTCGACCCACGCCTTGAATCGACGACCTTCGTCCCTCGACAAGGGGTCGCTCCTCGCCGATGGACTCTTGTCGGTAGCAAATCAGGCCTTACCAACGTGAACTCCACCCTCCTTCGGGCGTGGAGGTTGGTAATGATGGGGGTCGGTTCCTTAACCTCCGCAGCTCATCAGCGACAAAAAAAGAGGGTTGTGTGCTCGACCTCTATGCCTCAAACAAAGAAAGGGGTCGTGTTTCTCGACCTTCATGTCTCGAGCAGAGGAGGGGGTTGGGTTTCTCGACCCCCCTAACAAGGGATGCGAATGCTACTAATGACAATCTATCATCAACATGCCCCTCTCATCATCGAGGGACCACCTCAAGCATAGAGGGCCTGTGTTCTTCTCGACTTGGTTGGGTTTCTCGATCTACACACCTTGGGTGGCGGAGGGGGTTGAGTGTCTTACCTATATTCCTTATGTGGAGGAGGGGGTCGAGTTTCCTGACCTCCATGCCTCATGCAAAGGTCATCTTTATCCGAGATGCATATATATATATATATATATATATATATATATATATATATATAT